GAGTCAAAGTCCTACCAAGGACATGTAATATCCATGCAGCCAACACTTAAATAGCTCTTCAGTTTCTGGCTACAAGTGACTATGTTATCTTCTATCCTCCCTCAGCCTCTGGCATCCTGAGCAGTCACCCCTCCCATTCTGAGCTCTTTCCACTGACCTCAGAAGAAGGCTGGCTCAAATAACACACTTGTCAAAACACCTAGGTAAGCACATCTGTGGGAGACACTATATAAATAGATACATGGAAACAGAGTGCTCTGTACTGATAACGAAAACCATTTACAAATTCCCTGCACTTTCCAAAAGGTTGATTTCCTACAAGGACTCGTTAAATGTGAATGTCACTAATAATTTTAATTCTGTCAGCTTAGACAGACCTGTTTTATAGAAGCACTGGCAAAGCTGCAATTGAAGGTGATTTTTAAGTTTTGGGTATTGCTGTAGCAAAAATCCTCTGTGCTTAAATAGAGAAACGAAAATTGATCAACAGAGAATGACCCAAAATAAAAATGCTGAAAAGTTTCTAAGTGATCTGTGGGAAAGGCTGAAAGAGTTGGCTTTCACTGGTCTACAGCAAGATAAATACAAAAATAACAGTTGTATTTACTTCTGTCTCCTCTCTATACAGGAAACCATGAGTTTAAAACATTTAACATAGTGTTTGGCACATGGTGTTTAATAAATATTAGTAAAATGAAAATACAAATGTATAGGTGCTTATTATTTAAAGGAATATTGCAATCACTGTGCTTTCCTTGTTTTTTTTGTGTGTGTTTGTTTGTTTTTATCCAGACTGGTATAGTAGACAGAACATAGCTTCCAATTTTATTCAGAATAAAATTTAAAGTCCTTACCATGGGCTACAAAGCCGTACATGATCTGCAACCCAACTATCTCTCAGCCTCGACTCTGACCACTTGCCCCCTTACCTTACTCTGTTCCAGCATCCCGACCTCCTTGTGCTCCTCAAATAAGACACATATCCCTGCCTCAGTGCCGTTGCACCTGGTCTTCCCTTTGCCTAGAAACTCATTCCTTCAGTATCTGCTCAAATGTCACCTCATCAGAGAGGCTTTCTTTACCACCTCATTCACATACATCCCACCCGTTTATCCTGCTGTTTTGTCCTCATAATGTATTACCACTTGACATACTATATGTTTTATTTTTTGTCTCCCCAAACTGGAGTGAGTTTTAACAGGGCAGAGACCTTATTCATTTTGTTCACAGCTGTATTCCTTGTGCCTAGGAAGTTTTTGGCACATTGTAGGAGTTCAATAAATATCTGCCAAATGAATAAATTAATGAACATTAAACTGGAGTCCAGACACCTGGGGTCTACTCCTAATTCTACTCCAAAAAATTCTGTGACAGACCGGGCACGGTGGCTCATGCCTATAATCTCAGCACTTTGGGAGGCTGAGGCAGATGGATTGCTTGGGCCAAGGAGTTCAAGACCAGCCTGGGCAACATGGCAAAACCCTGTCTCTTATAAAAACACAAAAAATTAGCCAGGCCTGGTGATGCACAGCTGTAGTCCCAGCTACTCAGGAGGCTGAGGTGGGAGGATCACCTGAGCCTGGGTAGTCAAGGCTGCAGTGAGCCATGATCATGCCACTGCACTCCAGTCTGGACAACGAGAGTGAGACCCTGCCTCAAAAAAAAAAAAAAAAAAAAAAAAAAGGTGTGACTTTGAACAGACGACTCCTGACACTCAGTTTCTGAACCTAAAGTCAGATCGGTTGGGAACAGATACTTCTAAAGCCTCTGCTAGCTCTAAAATCCTGTGGGTTTTATAATCTGCCTTTCACAAAAGTTCTCTGGTGAAGTTTTAGAAACATAAAAATCTTTTTTGATATCCACAAACTACAAGCACTGTGAGGCATTTTATTATGATTCAAAACACCGCTGCAATGATGAAGCCTTCTCCAACCCTTCCAGGTAGTATGGATCCCAAGACTTTGAGGTGCCTCATACACACCTTTTCTTCCTTAAATCTCCTCTAACAGCTAACGACATAATTATGTTTTTCTGTTTCCCCAACTAGAATGTAAACATTCTAGTTTACATTGATGGTAATGGATTACAGGATGGTAATGGATTCTTAGTTATTTTTGTATCCCCAGCACCTTGCATTGTCTATGGCAAATACTAATAGTAGGCACTCCATGAATGTTTAGTGAATGAATAAATACAAAGTGAAATAGGATCATTATTTATACTGAAAGCTGAGACCATCTCTCCCTTCATGGATGAACAGTGGGCAGAAGGTAGAGCCTTCCTGCTAATAATGACTCATCTGATGGAATAAAAGAAACTAAAGCTTAATGGGAAGCTACTAAGAACCAAGCACTCCTCCACACATTCACATAATTTATGGAATCCTTAAGACAACCTGATGAATTAGGAATTCTTATTATTTTACAGATGAGAAAATTGGGCTCAAAGAGGACAGAATTTGCCCATTATGGAACAACTAACAGGATTCACAATCAGGCCTCTTGATGCTATATGTCACATTCATATCACTGGATGATATATCAGGATAGTTCTCTGATCCAATATACATGTTGGTGTATGTAAATGATGAGCTTTCCTGCACGACAAAAGCATTTTATAATTAAAGGGAATTTTTCCTCAATTCAGAAAGATTACTGTAGATAATTATATATCATACCTGAAAGGGTAAAGGAAAGTTTACAGATTACTTTGTGCCTTTTGAATTTTTAAAAATAAAGATTTGTAAACCAAAAATAAAATTCTAAGCCCCCTGACTGTCTGAACGGACCCCTCCTTTCAGCAAGGGCATTCCAAAGCTAACCTGAAAAACTCACTCAGGCCATGATGGGTGGGGAGATGGAACATGCCTCACTACATCCCCCTCCCTTTTGGACTTACTGATAGAACAACTCTTTCAGTCTGATAAGAAACATTTACAATCTATTCTCTCTCAAGCCGGCTACCTGGAGGCTTCATCTGCATGACAAAACTTTGGTCCCAACATCCCCTTATCATAACCCAGACTTTCCTTTCCACTGATTCCAAGTCTTAAGAGAATAACTTAACTCTTTCAACCAATTGCCAATCAGAAAAAACTTAAACCTACCTATAATCTAGAAGCCCCCACTCCCTTCAGTTTTCCCACCTTTCTGGACCAAACCAATGTACATCTTACATGTATTTGATTGAGGTCCCATGTCTCCCTAAAATGTGTAAAATTAAGCTGTCCCTTAACCACCTGGCCACATGTTCTCAGGATATCCTGCAGGCTGTGTCACAGGCCACTGGTCACTCATAGTTGACTTCAGAATCAATCTCTTCAAATATTTTACAGTTTGACGCTTTTTTGTCAACATGTGCTTTTCCTAAATCCACAAGTTTTGCTGACTTCCTGTTACTCTTGTCATCTAATAAAAAATAAATTGGATGCTTTTTCCAGGCCTCCATTTTCCATATTCCCTCATGTTTCCCTCCACTCTATTTATTCTGACCTCTTTACCTGGTGTCCACCTTACTGTCTGTAGTCAGAGCAGGCTGAAGTTTACTGCAGACAAATCACATCCTTTTCTGAAGGCCTTGACCTTTGTCAAATGGCAATACAACCCCAAAGTGGTGAATTGTCAGCTGCTCACATTTTAGTGTAAATGAGTTTTCAGATTCTCTTGGTTGTAAATGTGGTTGGGCAAGGATATGAGGATCCCAGACAACAGTAAGGGAAAGGTTATAAAAGCTGGGGTTGACAGACTTCCCCTTCTCAACACTGCCAAGGGATCACAGGTCCCCTGCTCCCTGATCCACTCCCTACAGGTGCCTTCTCCTCTGCTCTTCCTGTCTGTAGTCCCTGCCCACTACTTCAAGGCAGCTCCAGCCCAACACTCCCTCTTCTGCCCTTGCACAGTACCCACCGTCCTTCCCTCCACCTCTATATAGCCTCACACTCCCCATGTTAGGGAAACGTTTCCCCATAGGGGAAAAAGTTAGGGGAACTTTTTCCACAAAGTCCTTGAGGCCAGGGACTGTGCTTGCTTCCCACTTGGTAGTTGCTTGGTAAACATGTGACATGCATTCAGGACTTCTTGCCTGACCGTCCATCCTCCCCAATGCCACTCTATGGGCTACTTCTTCAACATCGGCTTTGCTGGCTTTGATTAGGTAAGCTGGGCGTTCTGAGATGGTACACACCCACCTGCCACCTTCAAAACCTTTCCACTGTTACCAACAGACTGAAGAAGAGACATCACTGACTGACGCACAGTCAGGGAAAAAACCCAAAACACATACTCAAGGAGAACCAGTGAAGGTAGAAGCAAATCCAAATAGAGATTAGATGATCTCTATTATTCTCATTTTAGGGCCTTCTTAAAGAAAGGGACGGAGGGTGGGAGATCGAAGGGTGGGAGGCGCATCTTTTTTACATAGTATTTTACTTCATCACATTCACGGAAACTGATACATGGGACCAGGAAAAAAGAAGCAGGACTTGAAGAACAGGGATTACTGAAACTCATGCTTCTTTTCCCCCAAAGAATGTATGGGCCTTTGTATCAAAATAAGGTCACCTTATTGCAGCCTAGTCCAGTGCTAGGCCGCCGGGGAGACCGCCATTCATCTGAAGGTACCAGTGCGCCTTCACCGCCTCCACCCCACCCCCTTCTCTAGCTCAGGATTTAGCGATTGTTCCTGTGCCTTGGGCCAGATGTACGCGTTCCAGCACATTTCGGCAGTTAGGCAGGACCTAAGTAAATCCTCAGGAATAAACAAGAGCAGCGAGTCACAAGGAGCTGGGGGCGGGGGTAATGAACTCTGCTGCAGGCGGGCCTGTCACTCCAGCTGACAGCGAGCACCTTCACCTTCAAGTTCTTTTAAACGGCAGTGCACCCAGAGAGTAAGTGCCTAGCTCGACGGAAACGAACCCCAGAGCTTAAAAACTTAAAGCAAACAAGCAAGGGAGCTGCTAGCTGCCCTGCAGGCCCTGGGCCGAGGAGAGAGGCTCGCGCTACCTGGCGTCCGGCTCCTCCTCCGACTCCGCCGCCGTCTCGTCCTCCTCGCCCTCCGACTCCTCCTCTGTCTCCAGCTCCCGGGTCGCCTCCTCGTCCCCGTCGGAGCCGAGAAAGCTCTCGCCAGCGTGGTTGCTATCGCGGCTCGCCATCGCCTCTCCCGGGCCGGGGCCGGAGTCGGAGCCGGAGCCGCCCGCGCCGCGCCTGGTGTTCTCCCTCCGACTGCTCTGGCCCCTGCCCTCCCAGCCCTGCCCCTGCGGGGGCGGCTCGGGTTCCAGGCGCCGGGGGCGGGCGAGCCCCGCGACTTTAAATAGAAGGCGTCAAAGTTTCGCCACCAAGCTTCTGGGGCCCGGGCTCAGCTTCTCTTCTTCCCCGAGCCCTCCCCCGCCCCCGTTTCGCCAGATCCCTGGAGGGCCTTTCGGACAACTGGAGATCATTTTAAGGGGCCCGGGCTCCGGCTGCACCAGGGGGTTCAAAGGAGGAAAGACAACCTAGCCCCGTCTCTATTTCCTCCAGAGTGAGTCTTTTCGGTTTTGAACTACTTTTTGGACCCTTTATCCCAAACAATAACTACATCCTGAACGGGGCACTTAACTACCAGGCACTCTGCTGAGAGTCTCGCTTTCATTACCTCGATTCTGCGGTGGTACCTGTAGAAGGTTTTACTGTAGTGCTGGTTTCCCAGATGAGGAAACTGAGGCTCCGAAGAGCTCCAGCAGCTCAGGCTCTCATTGCTAGTAAAGTGACCCAATGAGAAACAAAGCGGCCCTGCTCAAAAGCCCAGTTTTGAACCATTGTTCCGTCCCGGCTCCCTTTATATCGCAAGTCAATATACTGTATATTTTCTTGCTCAGTGGTCCCCGTTATTGAGCCAGGAAACTTCATCTCCACTCATCTTAAACCTTGAGGAGGAGCAATTTCCCCCACGTTAGCAAAAAGCTAAGTTTTGTCTGAAACTGGCCCAAAGGCCCCAAACCTTTCCCCGGATCAAGTTGTGGTTAAAACCCCTCAATGGCTTCCCACTGCTCAAAGCCTGAACCCCAACATCCTCACAAAGGTAACGGTTGCCTAACTGGCCATGTTTTACCTGTCCACTGTTTTTTATTTTTATTTTTTTATTTTTTGAGACGCAATCTTGCTCTTGTCTCCCAGGCTGGCGTGCGATGGCGCGATCTCGGCTCGGTGCAACTTCCACCTCCTGGGTTCAAGCGATTCTTCTGCCTCAGCCTCCCAGTAGGTGGGATAACAGGAACCCACCACCATGCCTAGCTAATTTTTGTATTTTTAGTAGAGACGGGGTTTTACCATGTTGGCTAGCCTAGTCTCGAACTCCTGACCTCAGGTGATCCGCCAGCCTCAGCCTCCCAAAGTGCTGGAATTAACAAGTGTGAGCCCCCGCGCCCACCTGGTCAGCTCTCTTTAGAAGTCAGGAGTTCCCAACATTGTCAAGTCACTCCACTGTGTCTTTATTTACACAATTCCTTCTGCCTCAAAGGTTCATCCCATTTTTACCAGGATACCAATCATTCAAGATACCACCTTTCTCTGAAATCCCAAAGTTAAACTCTGTACCTCTCTTCCAGGTTCCCACATAATCCTATACAGATTATGTTTGTATCTCCTTCCCCAGCAGACTTTGTAAGTTTACTACTCATCTTTGTCCCACCATTCCCATCCCTTACAAGCCTACACACTAGCAAAGTAGCTAGCACACAGCAGGTACACATAATGGATGCTCCCTGAAGAGAACAGAACCAGACCTGCTGACTGTACAAATTGAGGTATCTTTACAATAAAGATACCCATTTTATGAGAATGATTTGATGGCTAGAAGTTAACATTTATTTTTAATTATAGCAAGTCACAGAGTTGTTAAATGTGACTGTAAGCTGGGGATTATTCACCAGTTACACTAGTTGCTATGCATATGTCTGTAGCTAATGAACTGTAAATCTTTGAATTACAGTACAGATACATCAGCTAGTGGGACATAAGGAGGGAAAACAGCAGAGTCAAGACCCACAGTTCACTAAACCAGATTTAGCATCAGCAATATTTATTCTCTTAACACCAACTAGACTTTACTATCAGTAATCCCAAATGACCATGCTCATCCAGGACAAAAGGAATTCAATCGCAGCTGTGGGAATCTGTTACACACTAATCAAAACCACAGGTAGCCATTCTATGTTCCTTCCATCATTTAATTAAAAATTTCTTACAAACATTAATGTCTATGAGATTTATTTGCAAAGATCCTAGTTCAAATCAATCCAAAATTTAGAATTGTAGTACAGATTGCACATTTTAAACACCACTTTAACAACATATGCAAATACAGTCAGCCCTCCGTATCCATAAAGGATTTGTGAATTCAACCAAGGATGAAAAATATTTGGGGTGGGGGGTAGGAGAGGGAGGAAGAATGGTTGCATCTGTACTAAACAGGCATAGACTTTTTTTTCTTGTCATTATTATTCCCTAAACAATACAGTATAACAACTATTTACATAGCATTTACATTGTATTAGGTATCAGGTAATTTAGAGATGATTTAAAGTATACAGGACAATGTGTGTAGGATATATGCAAATTATATCATTTTTTATAAGGGACTTGAGCATCTGTGGATTTTGGTATCTGAAGAGGATGGGGGTGGCCTGGAACCAATCCCTCAATATACTGAGGGACAACTACGTACAGGAATGGACAGATCAACACAAACAGAAAATAATTTAGTACTCATCAAACAAATAATTGAGATTAGTAACTTAAAAGTCTAGAAAATTCTCTCATATATTAACAGTTCACTTATCTGACATATTTGGCCAGTCACATGTGCATAATTTTAGGCCTCAGTCTACTGATTTAGAATTGAGTCTAGGTTTAGTGACTTCTTGATCTGTTTTTCATAGTAAAACAAGTGAAAAGCAGCAGCAGTAAGAGTGGGGCCATTGAAAACTGAGAAAACAGTGACAGTGAGGGAGTCCACAACATGGTAAATTCTGGGGTTTTATTAGGAAATGTCATAATACTGTAGAGGCAGAGGGTACATACTTACCCATCCCTGAAAGTTGCACAGTATTAATGAATAGTACTAAGACTAATGCTTATAATGATTACCCAGTCATCACTAGAATATTAACTCTACTCAGTACGTTCTCATTAAGAGATGCACAATGTAAATTTTAGGAAAAATTCCCCCCCGCCAAAATATGAAAAGCTCAAATGCATAAAAAGTGTTACACATCAGGAATCTAAAACACTATGTGTAAACTTTCATTCCTCATAATGCCAGAGACATAAGATATTGATGTGGTTAGCTGGCTAATAAGTAGATTTAGTTCAGTTCTAGATGATAACTACAGCCTCAGTCTCATCTCAAAAGCAAAGACTTTCACAGAAAAAAAAAACCACCTCGACAATGTCCATATATAAATTTTATTGCATTTGACGTACAAAAATTTGAACTTAAAGAAGAAAATGAAAATGTGCACCTTTTACAAGTCAAAGAAAAGCAAAAGTTTTGGCATTTGGTCTGCGAAAAAAAAAATACGTTAGAGGTACAAACTGTACTACAGCAGGTCTAAAAAATGTTGGACATAGTCCTTTTGAAAAAGTTAAAACTGTTTTCAAGATTACTTTTTATATTTAAATTTACAGGCACTGACCAATTTACAAATATTTACATAAATCAAAAACAACCTTAATAAACACTGTAGCTTTTTTTGTTTAGCAGCCACCACTACTTCTTTCATGTAAAAAAAGAAATACTAAAAAAGAGATTTTTTACAAATATTAAGCTTTTATTTATAATAATTTTATTGTGTCATATCTAAAACATTTTGTAGTGGCTTACTGTCTAAAAATTCCAGTTTAGATTACAATCCTATAATTGTACACAGAAAAATATCTGATACTACAAACAGGATATAATCTTAACTTTGATCTCTCAGTTTCTGTTGCTTCATGTCACAGAGAAAATAGAGCAGGAAAACGGCAAGTAAAGCAGAAGTGCACATTGTACTAAGCTATCATAAAGCACAGGAAACAATCTTTGCAAAATGTCTACACTGAACTGATTCTTTAAAACAATTCACTAACTGTTTTAAGAGTTAGTGCTCCTATTACTACAGTGCAAAATGTATTGTTGTTTCAATACAAAATTTAAAGCAATCTCAAGAGTACATCAAAAGCATGTGAAGTACTAATGAAATGCTAATACAGACACACCCAAAGCCTCAGTCTATCCCAGTGAGTCAAGCAAAGCAAAGACTTAAGGCAACTGTTCAGTATTTCATGACTCTGCAGTGATTTGACTGAAATGATTTTGTTTTGCTTCAAGTAACTGAACAACTGACTTGAATCTTCACTTTACTAGAACAGACTTTGACAACAAACTATCTAATGTAGGTTAGACTTTAAGCATGTATGAATTAGACCCCTTCCAAAATTCTACACATCTCTTCAGGATTAGCATGTGTTACAATTAATTGAAGTTGTATCAAAAACTTTTTATTTGTTCAGGTAATTTCGCAAAATATATTTTATCTGATCACCTGAAAACGCATGCCATAATATTACTAATCATCAATGTAAACATTTTCAAAAATACATTTTTATTTTTAAATCAAAGGGTTTTATTAGGAAATGTCATAATAAAATATGCAATCTTTATATGTCTTTTTAAAAATAAAAAATGAAAACAAGAACTATGAAAAAAGCAATTATGATGGAGGTAAACATAATGTATTACGATGAAACTATTGTTCTTTATTTCTTGGAAGAATTTATTAAGAAATAGAGGCCAGTTATCTTTTCAGGACAGCAGCTCTTACAGGTAGTATACTGTTCAAATCTCTCTTGTTTTTCAATCTGTGCCATGACTGGGAGAGAAAGAAAAATCATTCTTAAAACCTGAAATTTATGCAGAACAAAAGACTGAAAGTTTAAAAGAATGTTAACAGTTGTTCTCTCTAGGTGGTAAAATTTTGAATAGTTTTTTCCTTGAGTTTTTTCTTTTTTTGAGATAAGGTCTCGCTCTGCCACCCAAGCTGGAGTGCAGTGGTGCAGTCTCGGCTCACTACAACTTCCATCTTCCAGGCTCAAGAGATTCCCCCACCTCGGCCTCCTGAGTAGCTGGGATTACAGGCGTGTGCCACCACGCTCAGCTAATTTTTAAATTTTTTTGTAGAGACGAGAGGTCTCATTGTATTGCCCAGGCTGGTTCTTTGAGTTTTTATTTTCCAAGTTTTTAACACAGTATAAGTATTATTTCTGTCATCAGAAAATAAAATGTTATTTAAAAACTCTGTATTTTTATGGTTCCAATTCATTAATAAAGAAATGGGCACAAAGGTGGTACTGAAAGAGACAACTGACAATATTTATTCACAGATTAATTCAATCTAAAAATAGCAAACAAAAACTTTGGATTTGAGAAGGGAGGATTATTTCAATTATTTGATTGACTGTCTTACATCTTCACTAGCTTTTTCCATTAAAAATAATATTTATGGGACTGGGTACAGTGTCTCATGCCTGTAATGCCAGAATTCTGGGAGGCTGAGGTGGGCAGATCACTTGAGCCCAGGAGCTCAAGGCCAACCTGGGCAACATGGTGAAACCCTGTCTATACAAACAATACAAAAATTGGCTGGGTATGGTGGCACACGCCTATAGTCCCAGCACTCATGAGGCTGAGGTGGGAGGATCATTGAGCCCAGGAGATTGAGGCTGCATGAGTCTGGGTAACAGAGCAAGACCCTGTCTCAAAAAAATATATATAGTATTTACGAAGGAGAAAGTAAATTTACAATAAGGTACTTTATGTATGCCTCTGGAAAATAACAGTGATTTGAATGGATAAGAAGAAAAGAAACTTGTTAACAAGCTAAAAATCTGTCTCACTACTTGGTGACTGCAGATCTTTGTATTCTAGTCTCATGTCAATTATTCAATTGTCTAAAAGTACTGGTTTTACAACTAAACAATCCTAAATGAAAGCTCACTCATCAATAAGAACACCAATGTAGCATTGCTATTTTTGAGTTCTCAATTTAATCTGACAGACCAAAATATTCTCTCTTGAATATTTGTTTTAAAATTAAAGAATTTCTATAGGACAAATTTTCTATTCTGGTTGCCAAATTAAGAAAGTCTCATTTGAAGGATAGCTTGTAATAGAATACTTATATTTTATCTATTTATTTATTTGAAACAGGGTCTCACTCTATTACTCATGCTCAGGCTGGAGTGCAGTGGCACAATCACAGCTTACTGCACCCTCAACCTCCTGGGCTCAAGACCTTTCTCCCTACTCAGCATCCCCAGTAGCTAAGACACAGGTGCATAACACTACACCCAGGGGTGGGGTGGAGTGGGGTGCGTGTGTGTGTTAACTATGTCGTGTGTGTGAACTATGTCTTGCTATGCGTTGCCCAGGCTGGTCTTAAACTCCTGGCCTCAAGCAATCCTCCTGCCTTGGCCTCACAAAGTGTTTGGATTACAGGTGTGAACCACTGCACCTGGCCATTATTTTTATTCATTTTTTTTTTTTTTAAGAGGTGGAGTCTCTCACTCTGTTGTCTAGGCTTGAAGTGCAGCAACTTGATAATAGCCCACTGCAGCCCCGAACTCCTGCGCTCCAGTGATATTCATGCCTCAATACTTGTATTTTACATTATCATTAAAACAAAGTCCACTTGTACGTCTAGATAATGAAAAAGTATGCCTCTAAAATGATCTTTGCAGTTTTCTCATCTTTTTCTTCTACGAAGCTTTCCCTCCCCTCCATGTCTCAATACTACAATGTGTTGTGGAAGTCCTTGAAGATTAAGACCACATCTAGCAACATCACTGATGAATAAATTCATACTATAGACACAGACACATACATAAATTTTAACTTTCCAAAATATAAACAAAAATAAAACGGCACTCTAATTCCTGTGACAGTGGGGTATACATTAGAAAAAGCATGGACATCAGTTTCCTTCTAAGGCCACAATAAATTCCCCAATATACTAAGGAAGGAAAAGAGTCCATTAGGTTTTACTCATTTTGGAAATTTAATAAGCTCACTATGAAAATGCTTACTTCGGCAGGGCATGCACGGTGGCTCATGCCTGTAATATCAGCACTTTGGGAGGAAGAAGCAGGTGAAACACCTGAGGTCAGGAGTTTGAGACCAGTCTGACCAACATGGTGAAACCCTGTCTCTACAAAAAAATAAAATAAATAAGCCAGGTGTGGTGGCACACGCCTGTAATCTGAGCTACTTGGGAGGCTGAGCAGGAGAATCCCTTGAACCTGGGAGGTGCAGGATGCAGTGAGCTGAGATTGTGCCACTGCACTCCAGCCTGGGCAACAAGCGTGAAACTCCATCTCAAAAAGAAAAGAGAAAATGCTTATTTCTATGAAAGTGAAAGCAATGTGAATAAAAACAGAGCCAGATCTCTTTGAAGGAAAAGTTTAACTAAATTCAAATAATAAGTTCCCTATCATGCTATATTAATGGATTCACAAAAGAGAAACCATTCTGTCCTATTACATATATATTTTCTCCTGTTTAAAGCATACGGGTCTACTAATGCTTCTAGGGTTGATCTAATGCATTGTTTACCTTTAAAAATTGATCCTTGATCATGTCAAATTTCTGCTTTTCGTGCACTGCTCTGGCTGTATTTGTTCCATCAAAAGGTTCTGCAACGTTAAATGCACATGTACAGAAAACATTATTAAAATGAGAGCTACAGTTTCTTTTTTAGGTTTGACGCTGTCAATATGTAACAGTTTTTGACCTACAAAAATTGCAATTTCAGATGGGTCAGCCTAATATCTTTATTAGATTTATGTATACAGAAAAGCTTAATATACTATGAACTGCCTAACAAGGTAGATAGAATTCAAGGGAGAAGGTGATTAAAAATGAAAGTCATCAGCATAGATGTGTTAAGTCTAAATCATAAATGTGTGTAAGGTTTCTGAAAAATTACAGTGTCAAAGACCTACCCTTAGGAAAATAATAAAAGTCATCAAAAAGAAGAAAGCATTATATCTAAGAGAGGCAGTTAATGTTAAATATCACAGAAAGGTAACTTTAAATTTAATTTTAACTTAAAAGCTGATGTGTCCTTTGAAGGTAGAGGTTCAATACTGGAGAAAATGGAAGACAATGCAGGGAGTTATGGCCCGAGTGGATGGTTTAGAAAAAGATACAGTGAAGTCTGGCCAGACACGGTGGCTCACACCTGTAATCCTAGCACTTCAGGAGGCCAAAGCGAGTGGATCACAAGGTCAAGAGATCGACACCATCCTGGCCGACATGGTGAAAGCCCATCTCTACTAAAAATACAAAAATTAGTTGGGCATGGTGGCGCGTGCCTGTAGTTCCAGCTACTCGGGAGGCTGCGGCAGGGGAATCACTTGAACCCGGGAGGTGGAGGCTGCAGTGAGCCGAGGTTGCGCCACTGCACTCCAGCCTGGCAAAAGAGAAGACTCCATCTCCAAAAAAAAAAAAAAAAGAAAGAAAAAAGATACAGTGAAGTAACTTGCATGAGAAATTTGGCAGAAAAAGAAAAGAGAAAAAGAGAAAAGCAAACAGAAGACAGGAAAAAAGCAAAGGAACAGTTTTTATGTATGTGTGTCTCCAATATATATACCTTCCATGTTCACACCACCATCCCACTCACCCTTCACCCACAAGGGAGAAGAATATAGAGAGATAGGAAGAAACCAGAAGAGTACAAGGAAACTGAAGATCATAATGAGAAGACAAGGATAACTAAAGGCATCAGGAATGAGATGAAATGTCTAAAATAATGCCAGCAGTAGGTAAAAATTACTAGAAATTAAGAATTTTAGCACTGAAAAAGGAGGAAAAATGCCTAGAAGAACCAGTAGGACCAAATAAAGAGTATTTTTCAACAATGAGAAGACCTATGTATGTATTAAAGCTGAAAGGGAAGGACTGGAGAAAGAATGAAGTTGTTGGTAAGAGGAAAGGTAACTGAGGGGAAAGACCTAGAGAAAGTATGGAAGAATAGGGAATCTGATGGAAAGGTCAAAACTTTAGATTTATCATATAATCTACACAGGTCCATAATTTTAAGTACTCTTTTTGCTTATTTTTTATTGCTTAGAAAGGCTATGTTAAAAAGAGTCTACTATCACAGTATTGTGGGGTTCTTTTCCTTAACAGAATAAGGTCATAAGCCAAATTATACTGGATTGCATCATCACAGCACTTTAGAACAGTGTTTAGTATTCAACTGAACACAAGTAACTAAAATAATGTCCACCCAGTGCAGTTTATTAGCACACCAAAGCAGGAGATTTAATTTCATATTCAAAAACTCTTAAAATACTGCATATAATTCAAGATTAAAATATCCAAAATCTGATGTTTTCTACAAATGCTGATTCTCAACTACTTATACTTTTTAACCTCCAGATTTACAAAGGTCTTCAATTTAGCATCTATGAGAATAATTTTGTCCCCTGAAGTCAGTTTTCTACTCACTCAAAATGTCTCAAGGATATATTCAACTACATGTAAATTAATTTTAGAGAAGAAAACTTCTTCAGATCATTTAATTTTTAAAGCAAAATCAATTTCTATTTATAAAAGTCCAACTTGTACTAAGTAATATTTTAAGTGCAAAAGAATATAAAATAACTCATTGTATGTCAATATAAGAATCATATATAAAGATTCTATTTTCTTCCATCTGTAAGTCATGAAATTGTCCATCAACCACAAGAGGGATAAAGACAGCTTAAATTTTATCAACTAGAAAGGGTGAATGCCTAAAGTTTATGTTTATTATTTCTCACACCTACAAAATTTTAAATGATTTTTTTAAATTAAAATTTTTAAACTAAAAGACTTACAAATCACTTCAGACATAAATGTATTACTTTTAACTGAAACACAGCTGAAATTACTCAAGTAATTCTCTTAGTACCATGATGATACATGGATGGTAAACAGAAAACTACCTTCTACACAGATGTATTTATTTCTCCATTCAATACCATCAGGCCTCGGAATGGCTTTGGCTTCACGAACTGAAATCATTTGACTATTCCAGCTATAAGAAGAACAACAGTAAACATGTTAACTATTTTCATAATTTCTCTTATATTATTTTTATTGTATCAATAGTAAGGCCTACCCCAATCTTCCTGTGGAAGACTGAAACCTGTGCCCCAACCCTCAGCACCACAAGCCCTATTTCCCACCTCTATTTTATTTTCCACAACACTTATCATCTTCTAATAATTTGTTTCTTACATTTACTATTTATTACGTTATTCTTCATTGTGTCTCCCTCAAGTAGGAGGAAAGCTCCAAGATACTGGATATTTATCTACTTTTTTCACTCTTCACCTAGGAGAACAGTACATACCAGGTTTTCAACACATATTTCAACACATATGAAAAAATGAAGTAACTGGAAAAAATAAGAAAGTACAGGCTGGGTGCGGTGGCTCACACCTGTAATCTCAGCACTTTGGGAGGCTGAGGCAGGTGGATCACGAGGTCAGGAGTTCAAGGCCAGCCTGGCCAAGATGGTGAAACCCCATCTCTACTGAAAATACAAAAATTAGCTGGGCATGGTAGTGTGCACCTGTAGTCCCAGCTACTCGGGAGGCTGAGGCAGGGTAATCGCTTGAACCCGGGAGACGGATGTTGCAGTGAACCGAGATCATGCCACTGCACTCCAGTCTGGAGAGAGGGTGAGACTCCATCTCAAAAAAAAAAAAAAAAAAAAAAAGAAAGTACAAGTAAACAAACAAAAAAATAACAACTATGGTCATAGTTAACAACGCAGTAACAATCTGTTATTTGTTAAGAGGGAAGTAATCCTCTAGTGTTATCTTCTGGTATTATTAAATAATTTTTGTTCAGGTACATCTTTATGTGTATGATTTGGGAGAAAATTTTGAAATTTTCCAATAGAAGTAGATGCTGTTTTAGGAAAGCAAAATTAATACTCTATGAAAATATACTTTATTGCTGTATATAAGATAAAGTTGTTAAGAGTAAAATTTTATTCAAGTAAAATAATTTCATCAGTGGGCCTGAAGGTAAACTGTCCAGTCTTTAGTATATACTAACTTTACATTTTTTAAAAAAGGTTTTTCTAACAGTTATTACAAGTATTTTCTTTTTTTCAAGGAACATTTTAAAGTATATGACTACCCAGCTTGTACATGAGAGAAAAATAAATTTGAGGAACAGCTAATACCATTTTTTAAGCAGTATTTAGCTTTCTCTACCACTTAAGACTATTGCTTGGGACCTTCCAACACCCTACACTTCTCCTCTATTTATCAGAAAGATAATTTGTAGGAATATAATCATGGATCCTGTATGGCATTTATAGAAATTTGACTAATTTCTATATTAAATAAGCATGAAAAATCTTGCATCTTGTGAATTTTGATCCTTGTAAAGCACACTGAAAGTATAAATTTATTTTTGTTCTGATCAAGAGTAGTTTGTAAATATTTTATGAAGAAAGCTTTAAGTTCTTTTAAAATATATACATCAGGATTTGTGCTTTTTAAAAATTAAGTAGGTTATCAAATGGAAATACTTAGTATTGGTTACAGGAAAATGTTTCAGATCCCTCATGTATTGTAGTTCCATTAGTACAGACTCCAAAAAGAAAGACTACTCTGCTCTATTGTTTCAAATGTCTTTACTAAAAATCCAAAAATTAGCAGGCGTGGTGGCAAGCGCCTATAGTCCCAGCTACTCAGGAGGCTGAGGTGGAAGAATCACCAGAGCAATGGGAGGTTGAGGCTGCAGTAAGTTGTGATCATGCCAATGCACTCCAGCCCGGCTGACAAAGTGAGACCCCATCTTAAAAAAACAGAAAACAAAAAAATCCATACAAACGTTTCCAACAATTTTCTTACATTGTTTCTTTACAACAACAATGTAAAGAGGGGAGTTATACAACCACAAACCTGAAGCAAACAAGGTTACATACTACAGTTTGCATCACTTCACTTTATACTAGTTATGTCAAAATTATTAATAAAATGAATTTTCCCTTGAGACTATTTGTTTTCTAATAACAGCTTATAGGACAATTAAATCTGCAGAATTAAAATTGTAAACGTTATTTTTACAAGGCATAGATTTATTTTTATCTTTCAGAAGAGTTTTAGAATATTGAAATACTATAGCCTGCTGTTAAATTACAACTTTTATTTCCTTAAATCAAAAATTCTATCTTTACCACTATATTTCTATTAAAACAAATCCTGATTTTTTTTTTTTGAGACGGAGTCTCGCTCTGTCACCCAGGATGGAGTGCAGTGGTGTGATCTCGGCTCACTGCAACCTCTGCCTCCCAGGTTCACGCCATTCTCCTGCCTCAGCCTCCCGAGTAGCTGGGACCACAGACGCCCGCCACCATGCCCAGCTAATTTTTGTATTTTTAGTAGAGACAGGGTTTCACCATGTTAGCCAGGATGGTCTCAATCTCCTGACCTCGTGATCCACCCGCCTCAGCCTCCCAAAGTGCTGGGATTACAGGCGTGAGCCACCGCGCCCGGCAACAAATCCTGATTTTACGCTACATGCCACTACTTGGTTCTAAACTGGGTCACAGAAACAGTATGAGATATATATTAATAGATATATTCATTTTATTGATCATCCCTTACCAGATATTATTTAAGTTTCAATGTACAATAAACCCAATTTGAAGTGCTTCAAAAAGAAAAAAGAATATTTTGAATCACTACTATTTGGACTGATTCAATCTACTGTGCTTTCAAAGAACTTTTAAATATTTCCAGATTGTTAAAAACATTTCAAATCATTAAAACATGACATAATTTTATACTCTTTGTACTCTAAAGGTGGATTTATTTATTTATATATTTTTTGAGACAGGGCTTTGTTGACAAGCCCAGTCTGGGGTACGGTGGCACAATCATGGCTCACTGCAGCCTCAATCTCCTGGACTCAAACGGTCTTCCCAAGAGTTGAATTTAAATGGTAATTTAGAAATATCTTCCCTAAATATTTCATTCTTTAAAACACAGCCTATAACCTAAGCCTTCTGTCATACTAATCTATTCTTGACCATAATTTGCTTGGCATGTAAAAATCTGTTATTGTCACTCAATAATTAAAGTGCAAAATAAGATACAGAATCTATAAAGAGAGATGTTTCAGAAAGAAGAACAGATACGGGGCTTAATTTAATCTAAAATACCCTGATAATAAATGATAATCTTTTAAATATAAAACTGAGACAACTCATTATATTAGAAGCAAGTTAGGTCCTTGCTTATTCTCTTCAGTAATGTTAACAGACTGGCATTCATCAGTAAACTCTCTTTAGCCATTCTTTTTATTTATTTATTAGTCAGAGTCTTGCTCTGTCACCCAGACTGGAGTTCAGTGGCACAATCCCAGCTCACTGCAACCTCCGTGCCTCCCAGGTTCAAGCAATTCTCCTGCCTCAGCCTCCCGAGTAGCTGGGACTACAGGCACCCACTACCACGCCTAGCTAATTTTTTTATTTCAGTAGATACGGGTTTTCACTATGTTGGCCAGGCTGGTCTCAAACGCTTGACCTCAAGCGATCTGCCCGCCTCAGCCTCCCAAGGTGCTGAGACTAGGCATGAGCCACTGCACCCAGCCCCATTCTTTTTGTGACCACAGAAAGTATTTTGAGGCAACTGTTTAAATTGGAAATGCTGTCTTAAGCGACATAAAGAAAAATTCAAGTCTAATAAAGTCAAAATTATGAGTCTGATACCATATGGCTCTGTGTGTGTGTGTGTGTGTATAGACTAGTAACATTAAGTGAACAAATACATATAATTTTGTTTTATTGTTATGGGCTAGGAAGCAAACAGAAAGAAAACTTTGTTAGGAATTTCAAATGTCTTAGGTAGAGAAAATATTTTACTCTAATCCTAGAGTTCTGTTTTGACTGGCTTCTCATCTTCTACCTGAACTTTTAAATGTTAGTATTCACCAGGGCTCAGCCTCTTTGAATCTTCTAATGGTAGAGTACACACCTTAGGCTCCAATAATCTGATGTTTCTTTCCCAAATCCTTTCTCCAGCTCTGACCTTTCTATTAAGGTCCAGGCTAACATTTACAACCAGCTATTGGAAACTGTCACCTGGATGTCCTATAGGCATCTCTGTGCCCACATTTTCAAGACTGAATGTAATACATCCCATGCATGGTCAGTTATGAAGATCACTCCCTTTCACATACTCTCAATTCTTACCCACTCTTGCTGCACTGAACTTAGTTGGCTGAAACACAACCCTGATTAAATCTACTCCAATTCTTTCCCACACAGCTGAACATGGGTGGAGAGATGCAACCACACAGACTGATCACACTTTAAATTCATGATCACTTAGCTAAAGAGGGCTCTTAATGTTACTACCCCCAACCATACTGTCTTTCCATAGTTAATCCACCCTTTTACTCTAGTGTATGACAATTCATACTTTCATCTTACTTCTCAAATTTCCACCTTCACAATCATTACCAGCCCATGTCCATGACTCATTTCACTAAAAACTTAAAACAATCCAAAAGTAATTCCTACTAGCTCCAATCACATTGATTCAGCTACATTTACCTGTGTCCATATATTCTACTTTTGATCATTATTAATGAATTATCTGTGCTCCTATTCTATTTGTGCTCTAGATTCCAACCATTCTTAACTCAAACAAGTTTATTTCCAAAAATTTACTATGCCTTTCTCTGGTATCAATTTTTCATCAAGATGGGTTATTTCTCCTCTCTAACAATAAAAACAAAAACTGGACTCCACTTAACACTCTAATTTCTACACTGTTTTTTTCTGCTGTAGAGAATGAGTTACATTATCCATATTGAATTCTTCTCCCTCTGTCTTCTCTTGAGCCCACCAATAATGCTATGCTCTTTATCCCCATTATTCCACAGAAACTGTTCCTGTCAAGGGTCCAGAGGACTCCATATAGCTAAATGCAATGGTCAACATTTAGTTCTCATCTTAATCTATCAAAAAATAAAGACACAGATAATCACTCCTTCCTCCTCAAAACA